GCGTCCATCGTTGTCACCCTCACATTCATCTTCACATATAAGAAAAGAAACAAGAATTAGAAGTGTAAAGTTTAAAATAAATAATATTATTCGATAAAGAAAAGGACGCCACTTTCAATTCTTTTCATTATATAGAATATAAATTTTTTTTCTTAAAAACGAATAAAAATTTAACAAGAACACTAAAAATTATGATTTTAAATTATATTCTTTTGGAAATATCATTTAAAATAAATTTGAAAAAATCAGAACAGAATAACGCTTACCATTTTAGCACCAGCAACCATGGCTACGATGATATGAGAACGTAAACGCAAATTCAAATGAGATCAAAACCGTTAAAACGATCTATGACGATAAATGCTTACTTATTGCAAGTCAGAACACAAATAATTCGAATAGTGCACTGTAAATTTGTAGATGTATTGTTCAAATTAGATAAACACTGAATATCACAAAACTTAACCGTTCAACTGTCGACTTATGCCGGTCTCAAGTCATACAATGAGCTAAGGGGCAAGTGCAGTCGGCAGCGTCTTTCCCCCCACTTTTCTCCTTTAAAGCAGTGCATCGTTGTTCTTCTCTTTTCGAATCATAGGTAGAATTTGTAAGAGAAAGGGAGAAGAACGAAAATGATCACGTGAGGAAGCCGGTGCGCGTAGCCATAGCCAATCAGCGTTTAGTTAAAATACCGGGTGTACAAAAGGAATTAACTTTTCAATAACGGTTCATATTCATATATGGAGTTGACATAAATGGAATTTTTAAAAAATTATAAAATACTATAAAATAATTATTTAAATATCTATATAATATGTAATTTGTAAATTTAATATTTTAGTTTAATTATTTCTTCTCATATAATAATTATAAGATAATTATTATAATTTATAATTGATATATATAAAATTATATTAGAATATTACTCTATATATTCTATTATTATCCATTATCTATTATCTTATATACTCTATTCTTCCTTTGATTACATTTTTTTATTTTTGTGTAATTACTGAAAATTAAATTTATTAATATTTCGTATTCAAATTAATATATTCATTCATTTATAAATGTTATTATTTTTATATATATATTCTTATATTATTATTTATATATATATATATATAACTATATTATATGTAATATACATTAAATAATTTAACTATTTTTAACTTTTAAGAATAATTTTTTATTCCTATAAATTACACAAAATTATACAAAATTATATTTGTTATTGTGTATTTTTAACACAAAATAAAATTTAAAATAAAACTAATAAATATAATAATTTAATTTTTTTAAATAATTTGTTGCATTTCATAAAATATACATACCGTTTTC